ACAAGGCATAAAGGATAGAGTTTCTCATTTGTGTGTGAAAGTCAAAAGCATTAATTTTTTTTAAATAAAAACTATTTTCTTATTTAGAAAGATGATTGAGAATAGGATTCTCGAGTACGTCTCTCTGTCTAGACAAGGATCTCCTCGACGCTCTAGGTAACTTACCTGGGAAACGCGTGCTCGACCGTCTAATATCATTAGTCAAGTACATTATTATTATTTTCGAAAACAAAACGAATTGAAACTATTTGAAAGATTGAGTTGTGTTGTTATGTGTGCATTAAAGTTGGTGTTAAAACACCTTAGTTTATGGACAAGAGGTCTGAATTTTTTGAGTTATTGCCCATGATTGGGTAATCTTGAGTTATACTTGGTTAATTGAGTTATGAATTGCCTTTGCAAATGGACTTTTGAATTGAATTGCTTATGTGAATTGGCATTGAATTGATTGTTTTGCATGTGTATGTGAAATAGATGGAAAAGATTGATGAAATGAGAAAGAAATACTTTAACTTGCATTATTTGAAAGATGATGGAGTCAGTGTTAGTGAGTTTGTGACTGGCATAGTTACTTTGGCCTTAACCCTCTATGAACGTTATGGATTGGAAGTGTTGACCCAACCACCTTGGATGATTCTCTTGGCCTTAGCCCATTTGCCTAGAGTTCTCAAGTATAAACCTCTCTTTGACAAGTATAAGGATGTAATTAAGGATAATGGAATGTGGAATGAAGTACACCATCAAGATGGGAAGTGGTTAGCAACCATGTCTAGCCTTAAAAGAGACTTGCATTATGTTGAACGTGACTATGAGCCTAGGAGGAAAGTGGTGAGATTTCCCAAACTCTCAAAGAATGCTACCTTGAGAGAAGATGAACAAATGTACTACTTAAATGCTCAACTACCTTTTTCATACCGAAAATGTCGTCATAAATTTGAGTCTTATTGTGATGAGTCCATACCACATCTTGGGAGGAGAAATAATTACCCTTCTCCTTCACATACTCCAAGCTATGAACCTCCTATGCGACCAAGCCCTAAAATCCATTTCCATGTTACAAAAAGGCCCAGAATTTGTACCCAAGAAGTTAATCAAAAGCCACCAAGTCCAGAATACCATCCATCTTCACCAAATGTTCAATAAAATCCCAATGCTTCTTCAAAGCCAACTTGTGTTTATGCTAGTCCACATAAAAGCCCAAATTACAGCTCAAATTCAAGTTCAGGCCATACTCCAAGTTACAGTGGATGTAACCCAACTTTCATGACAAACCCAATTGATAAGGGAAAGGTTATGCAAGATGATCCTGACTATGATCCCAATAAGGATGACTATTCTGAAAGTGTTTCTTGAATGATTGAATTATGCTATATTTATTGCTTTCATTAATTGCCTTAGATGGCAAAGTTGTACTTTCACTTTAATTATTAATGAAATGAAATTATTTTTATTGAATTTTTCCTATGTTATTCAGTGAATTAAATGTTAATATGAGTAAAAACTTGTTTTAATTTTCAAAAGTATGGTAATTATACCCAGGAAGTATGTATACAAGGATGAGAAACCAAACGGGAAGTAAGAGCACTGGTTCCATAGTAGAGAAGGCCCTTAGAAATTTAACCCGTATCACTGAAAACATCACGAAAGTGGTGAACCAAGGAAACCGTAATTCTAACCTTGACTCACACAATGAAGCTTTTAAGAGAAATGTTGCAGCCAAACCACCTGTTTACTTCGGAAAGGAAGACCTGGTCAGTCTTGAAAACTGGATTAGGGAGTTTGACAAGTTGTTTGATAATATCAATTACCCAAGTGAGCTAAGGGTGAATAATGGTGTTTACTATTTGAGGGAGCAAGATGACTTATGGTGGGCCCAAAGAAAGGATGAGTTGTTGAAGAAACCAAACTTTGGGTGGGATGAGTTTAAGGTTGAGTGAGAAGTTTTACCCTTCCTACCTGAGAAAGCAGAAGTGCATGGAGTTAACCAACCTGAGAATGGGGAACATGTCTATCAATGAGTACTACAACAAGTTCATTAAGTTGATGAGGTTTGCCCTGAAAGTAGTTCCCACTGAAACCATCGAACCTCAGAGATTTTAGCAAGGCCTAACCTTGACCCTCCAAGGGAAGTAGGGCGGATTTACTTTTGAGACCTTAGATGAATGGGAGGGAGATGGAGCATTCTAGAGAGAAAAGGAAGAACCAGGACTTTTTTCACGAGGGTGAAAAGAGGCATAAGCCCAACGGTAACCACCAGGGGAATTTTGGAGATAGGAGGGAAAACAAAGGGAACTTTAGGAAAGGGAATGGAGGCCAGTCAACCAATGCTAGAGGGAATGGGAACCAAAGGGGTGAGAAACCCCAACAAAAGTATTTCTGCAAGTGGTGTGAGAAAGACCACCTAGGGAGGGACTATGAGGAAAAACTGGTAACTTGTCATTACTGTCAGAAGTTGGGACATCGTGAGTATGAGTGTTTCAAGAAAGAGGCTGACGTGAAGTCAGGAAAGGTGAAAGAGTCTAATACTCATAGCAAACCATCTCAGCCTAGTGGATCTACACCCAAGGTTGGAACCAGTAGCGTTACGGGAAGAGCCCCAAAGGGTCATGTGTTATTGATGAACAACCGTGAGGTTGAAACTTCTAATAATGTGGTAATTGGTGTTTTCCTTATAAGTTCTTTTTCAGTGAAAGTTTTGTTTGATTCGGGTGCATCCCATTGTTTTATTCCTAAGAGAGTAGTTGAAAGTCTCGGGTTAGAGAGTCCTGAGTCAGTTTCTCTATATGTACCTATTTCGTCTGGGGAAGTGAGGAATTGTTCCAAGTTGTTTAGGAGTGTACCTTTCCATTTCTGGGGTAGATTTTCTGTCAGATTTGATCGAGTTCGATTTGAAGGATCTCGATGTGATTTTGGGTATGGATTTGTTGGGAAAGTATGAAGTCAAGATTGACTGTGCAGGTGAAAAGGTTACTTTTAATGGCCCAAGTAAATCTAGAGTGACTTGTAGAAAGGAAGGGAAGAGTTCAGGGTTAAGAATTATTTCTACAATGCAACTACAGAAGTTTGTTAAGAAGGGTATTCCTCTATTTATGTGTAGTGTTCAAGAAGTTGGAAGTGAGGAAGAGAAGAGTAAGGAAATTATTCCGGTTATAGAAGAGTTCCCTGATGTATTTTCATATGAAATTCCTAATATGCCACAAGTGAGGGATGTTGAGTTCACTATCAACCTAGTGCCTAGTACTAAACCTATTTCTAAGGCTCCATATAGGATGACTCTAGCTGAGATGAAAGACTTGAAGACTCAGTTAAATGATTTGTTGGAGAAAGGCTACATTCGACCTAGCTCCTCACCTTAGGGAGCTCTAAAGTTGTTTGTAAAGAAAAAGGATGGAAGCATGAGGTTATGCATTGATTATCGAGAGTTGAATAAGGTTACAGTAAATAATAAGTATACGTTACCAAGGATCGATGATTTGTTTGACCAACTTAAAGGGGTTGGAGTGTTTTCGAAGATAGATTTGAGGTCAGATTATCACCAATTGAGGATTGCAAAGCAAGATATTCCAAAGAGTGCTTTCAAGACTCGTTATGGTCACTATAAGTTCACAGTTATGCCGTTTGGTTTGACCAATGCACGACCAATGTTCATGGATTTGATGCATAGAATTTTCAGGCCATACTTGGATAAGTCTGTAGTGGTGTTCATTGATGATATCTTGATTTATTCAAGGGATAAAGAGGAGCATGAGGAGCATTTCAGACAAGTACTTCCATGACTAAGAGAGCACATGTTGTATGCTAAAGTGTCCAAGTGTGAGTTTTGGTTGGAAAAAGTGGCATCTTTGGGCCATGTGATTTCCAAGGAAGGAGTTTCAGTGGATCCAAGCAAGATTCGAGCTATCAATTAATGGCCAACCCCAAAGAATGTGTTGGAAGTGAGAAGTTTCTTGGGTTTAGCAGGCTATTACAAAAAGTTTGTGAAGGATTTTTCAAGGATTGCGAACCCAATGACAAGTTTGATGAATAAGGAGCATAAGTTTTCATGGACTCAAGAGTGTGAAGAGGCGTTCCAGACCTTGAAAGAAAGGTTAACCACAACACCTGTGCTGGCTTTGCCTAATGGAAGTGATCTATATGAAGTGTATAGTGATGCATCAAAGTTTGGACTGGGATTTGTCTTAATGCAGAATCGAAGAGTGATTGCATATGCTTCAAGTCAGTTTAAAACACATTTGGTGAATTACCTAACTCATGTTTTGGAGTTAGCTGCAATAGTGTTTGCTTTGAATATTTAGAGGCATTATTTGTATGTGTTGACTTGTAGGATTTTCACGAATCATAAGAGTTTGAAGTACATTTTCACCCAGAAGTATTTGAATGGAAGGCAGAGGAGATGGTTGAAATTTTTCAGTGATTATACGTTGGATATTCAATATCATGAGGAAAAAGCTAATGTTATGGAAGATGCTTTGAGTAGGAAGTCAGAACATTCGATTAATGTAATGGTAGTACTAGATCAGTTGTGTGTGGAATTTCTGAAAATGAATTTGGAGGTTATAAAACATGGAGAAGTGACTAGGATGTTGAATGCATTGGTAATTCGACCATCCATTTATGATGAGATAAGGGAAAGTCAATTGGAAGACGAGAAGCTGAAAGCAATAAAGAAAAAGATCGATGAAGGTCATGTGTTGGATTTCACCATTAGTAATCAAGCAAGTATTCATTTCAAAGGAAGATGGTGTATGCCAAAAAGTCATGGAGATTTGAAGTAGAGTTTGATAGAGGAAGCCCATAATGGTACTTATTTAATGCATCCGTGAGGGGATAAGTTGTATAAGGATATGAAGAAGACTTTTTGGTGGCCTAATATGAAGAAAGAAGTAGCTGAATTTGTGGGCAAGTGTTTGACATGTTAGAAAGTGAAGATTAGGCATCGTAGGCCTCAAGGAAGGGTCCAATCCTTGGAAGTGCCAAAGTGGAAGTGGCATTCAATTTCTATGGATTTTGTTGGAGCATTGCCTAAGACCAAGGCTGAAAATGACACTATTTGGGTAATAGTGAACAGGGTGACAAAATCAGCAGCATTCATACCCATGAGAAGTACTTGGACTATGGATCGGTTGGGAAGAGCTTATGTGAAGTTTGTGGTGAAGTACCATAGGGTACCCACATATATCATATCGGATAGAGATTCAAGACATTTGTCTAACTTTTTGCAAAGTTTGCAAAAGGCGATGGGAACGAAGTTGTTAATGAGCACAACATTTCATCCTGCGACAGATGGTCAAACCAAGAGAACAATTCAGGCATTGGAAGATGTTTCGAGGTTTTTTGAAATCCCTCGAGATACTAGTCTTGAACACGGCCAGATGGACGCGAACACCTGCAAAAATAACGAATATTCCATTTCACGGAATATTTGCCTCCGACGATCAAGTTAGTGACCGAAAATGGAATAAATGTATAGAGAGAAAGTAGAGAAAAGTTGGAGCTTTTAGTGCTCTTAGAATGATATGTTTTAATCCACCCCTCCCATCATAAATGATTAGGGTATATATAGGGGTGGGAAAGTGTGCCCTCTAGGGTTTAATAACCTAGGATGGCGTGCTCTGATTGGTGACGCAATCAAGTGAAGGCACGTGTCCATATGGGGTGCCGTTTTGCGGCTTTCTCGAGATTTGGGCCTCCTGATGTAAGGAGGCCCTTTTCTCTCATTTCAGGTGCTCTTTACGTTTGATACGTGTCATCTTCCTATAGGGACACGTGTTGCCCGTTAATTGGGCCACGTGTCATTATGGGATTGGATCACATTTTGGGGTATTTTTACCCTACACATTTGCCCCTCAGAGGGGGTGACTTATACCATACGGTCCGCCTCCTCTAATGTTTTACTCGTCTGGTGTCGTCCGAGTGTTAGGCGGATGGAGCATTATCATTGGTGGAAGACGGACGTTGTCGTTTGTCCATCAGAGGGATTTCTCTTTTGGGCTTTCTGCCTTGTTTAGTCCACCTAATTTTACTTAATGGACTTTGAGTCTTAAAATCGAGCCGACGGGTTGTGCCGACTTGTTTGAGGGGGACAACTTTCATCCGTATTTGGTGGAATGACGGTTCGAATTCCGCTGACCTAGCTGTCTGTTTTAACGCGCTGTTAGTGGGTCCGTACCTTTTCCTCTATTATATGACGGAGCGGTTTTTTAACCGTTCAGCTTCTACATTAACTCTTTTTAAAAGTTACCGTTCAAACTTCTGAGCGAGAAAGATGGTTTTACCATTTTTCTCTCATAAATTTGGTCTATAAATAGAAGATGTTAGACTTCATTTTGATACTTTGGAAACTTGAGTCTTCTAGAGAGAAGTTAGAGCTTTTAGAGAGAAGTTAGAGCTTTTAGAGAGAGAAAGGTATTTTCCTCCTAAATCTTCGAGAGCTTCGCCATGTTCCTTGAGTTTTCCGGTCAGGTTATTTGAGTTTTCCGGTCAACCTTCAAGATCTTCAAAGACTTTCAAAGTTTTCTACACGTATAGAGGTAACTGCCTGCTCTTCTTTACTTCTTCCTTTTTTCTTTTACTTGTTTTATTTTTATAAACACGAACTGGCACAACACTCGGTTTCGTCCGTCTCTCTTCATGAGGTCGGTCGTTCGCTTGGGACTGAGGAATCTAGAGTGGACAACGACGTGTCCTCCTCTCTATGTAGTGGGTCCATTTCTAGTGCGTACCAACTCACCCCCACCTATTCTTCTCTGTCCCTGCAGTCGAGCATGGCACATACGAGACAGACGTACGAAAAAGAGGCCGCCATAAACCCGGACGGCAGTATGGTAAACCCTTTAGTCCCCTACGATCCGAGTAACACGAACATGGAGGACACAAATACAACTACTGTTAGCGGTAGTGAATGTTCCGTGGTCGAAGTGACCACCTCTTTTGAAGAGCGCTAAAATCAGTAAGGCACTTCTTCCACCATGGAAGCGTTCGGGCGAGATCCGGAACCACACATCTCATAATTCACCAGCTCGGTTTTGATGTCGTTCGAGTTGCCATCTTCTGGAAGGCATCCTTCCTCTTCTCAGGCGGATGCTTGGGCGTCCGTCCAAAATCCTCAACCACCCCCAATCCAAATTATCAGGTCAGCCAGACCTAGAACTGGCATCCATATTGCTAAACCGGCCGACCTGCCCCATCGCAGCGCTTCTCCTTCTGGAAACCAGGCGGACGCTGGGGGAAGGAAAGATAAGGGAAAAAGGCCCTTGGTTCCTGAAGGCACCATTATTTCCGGAGGCGGCCAAGGCTCTAGGGGAGGGAGCTCGGCCAAAGCTGCTGAGTTGGACACAGTGTTATCCTTTGAATTCGGGGCTGCTCCTCAAGCTGCTGAAGGAGAGGCTGAGAACTCGGACGCCAATCAGGCGGCCGAGGAACCAAATGCTGATAATTTCAGGACCCCTACGCCTGTACAGTTGGCGACACTGCCTTGACCTTCCTGCACTTAAAGTTTGAAGAGTTTAAGAAGTTCCTCCACCTGAGAGAAGGCTACAAAATCGTAGCGCCCACTCACTCTTACTTAGTGGTCGCCTAGGAGAGTAAGAGGCTGTGGAAGAAATGCTTCAGCATCTACCGCGCTGCTTTGGAAGTGGGCCTTTGCTTCCCTCTTCATCTATTCGTCCAGGAGCTCTTAGACGAATACAACATTACTATCTTCTAGCTGGTGCTGAATAGCTGGTTAAACATTTTTTGCTATCTGGTGACGTGCCTTCGACAAGGCTTCAAGTCGGACATTCCAGTTTTTTGTGTTATGCATTGCATGGTCCGCTTGGATGCTAGTACAAACGGGTGGCTTATTCTGAGTACCCAGAAAGATTATATGGTGGTGATGGATAGATTCAATTCCAATCCAATTCAGCTCGGTCGCGGGCAGCATAGACCAAGCAAGCCGCCCGTCCACTCAGATTACATGCACCAACTGGACTACTTCGAAGTTAGAAAGGTAGTCAGGGCTGGAAAGACGGTGACCGTACCGCTTAATTGGATTCCTCTGGTTGTGTGGCTTAGGAACTTAATTTTCGTGTCGGCCTGTGGCTTATACCAGAACTACCCTCAAGGTGGAACCTTGTGACTTAGCCGTTCGAATGTTATTTGTAACATAAAAATATCCTATCCTACTTTCTTCCTTAGAAGTAGCTCTTGGAATGCTAGATCCGGAGCAGAAGTGGGAGGTTGACATGTCCGAGCTGGGCTTAGTGCAGTACAAACTCCGCCAACATCAGCACAACCAGGCTAAGGAGGTACTTATAATTCGTTCCTTTTTTTTTTGGTGCCGAGCTCATGTGTTGGAGGAAGAGTCTTTCCCCATTTCACTCGAATACAATTCAACTTGTTTTAAGGCCGAGTTGATATGTTTGGAAAGATATTCTATTTGATTTCACTCGGATGCTGTCCTTTGTCTATGTTTGCCGAGTTGAATTGTTGGGAAGGTGTTCCTTTTCAACTTTACTCGGACATTTGTTCATTTCATCTGACTTTATCCTGTTTCTTTCAGGCGGCCACTCCTACTCCTCGGTCAAAGAGAAAGCAGCCGGCTTCTGCATCCAAGGACGGTCAATCGTCCAAAACCAGGAAGACAACAGCCTCAAGGGCTAAGTCTGCCACCAAAGCGACCAAGGTCACGCCAAAGACTGCTTCGAAGCAGTCTGAAGGAGAGCCACCCTAGCAATCACCTAGTGGGGTCTCCAAGCCCATGGATCCGCAAACTGAGGCGGTCCACAATGAGTCCGTCCATGCGAACGATGGGGGTAAGTCATCCCCGGCAAAAATGACCTGCAATTCGGCCTCGACTCCGCATGTCGAAGTAGTAGATAAATCTAAGTGGTAGAAAGCTGCTTTTTAGTCGGCCGAAGGACAACGCGGCCACACACAAGAGGAAGGGCATGAGCCAATGCCCCCTCCTTCATTCAACCTTCCATCTCCTTCATCTTTCTTGGACGGTAAGTTAAATCTTCGTACGGCTGTTGACTTGTGATTTTAAGTACTTTCTTGTTTACTCCAACACTTTTCTTGGTTTATTGTAGACATTGTTGAGGAGATGCACATGAAGCTACTCGGCCAGTCGCTCACATGCGCTGACCGGAAAGCTATTAGGGAGGCCATGCAACGGGCCGTCCCTAAGGAGCAGCGGAACGAATTCCGCGGAATAAATGAGGGCTTCCTTTGCCCAATGATCAACTACAGTGCCGAGGTAGCATTTCCTAAATTCCCATAGATTTATGCTTTCATACTTAGAATATTTTCCTAGTTTGCTTTTGTTGACGTGTTTTCATTCGAATGCAGATCTTCCTTAAGCTCAGTGCCTTCTTGAATTGGAAGGATAAGGAGAATGAGAAGATCAAGGCGGCCCGGGCCACCATAAACCGGCTACAAGACGAGAACACTGGCAAACTGGCCCTGTAGAAGATCCATTACAAAATAGCCCTTAAGGCTCTCTCCGACAAGTTAGCTCGGCTAATTGAGGACATCATCAAGATTAGCAATACACTCCACCGAGAGCAGCTGGCCAGGCAGGCGCTTCAGCTGGAGCAGGACGAGGCGGTTGCAAATGCCTCTCAGTGGAAGGAGGGCTTTGAATCCTCCGAGAAACTGAAAAATGAGTTGACCTCGTCCTAGGAAGCTCTTTAGACGACCCTAGATCAAGTAGAGTTCCTCAAGCTTGAGGTTGAGCGCTTGAACAAGTTCATTGCAGACTTGTCCGAGTAGTTGAAGGCCCCTTGACCCCTTGGTCATTCGTATAAAGTATAGAGCCAAGGAAAAGTTGAAGATCCGCTTTTACGAGGCCTTCTCCCAGATGGTCAAGGAGGGCACGGCGGCCTACTATGAGGAGCGCTTTACTAAGCGCCTCAACTACGTCTGCCTCAAGGAGGAGGCCAAGGCTGTCGGGTAAACCCCTCCCGTTCTTGATGAAACTTCCTCTGACTCTGAAGTCAAGGAACATGATGATGATGAGGAGCCAGCCGAAAAGACGCCCGTTGACCCTGCGTCCCGCGATGGGAAACCGATCGAGGAGGAGCCTGCCAAAGATGATAAGCTAAGTGAAGAGCTTAAGTCCTTAAGCAGCTGTTTTGGAGCTTCTGAACTTTAATTTTATTTTCTTGTTTTTAAACAATCTTATTTCCGACCACCTGTTTTGAGCAGTCTTGTAATATACTCTCTTTTTATTTTTGCCGTCTGTTTTGAATGGCTTTAATTTAAACTTTCTGCTTTCATTCATACTTGGCATTTTTTGAGCAATTTTTCATGCCCTATTTTTCTGCTTTTGCGTACAAATGCTTTTACTTGAGGTATAACCCTTTATTCGGCATTTCACCAAGTCCATACTCAAGAAGGTTTGATTAACTTAGTAAATTTTATACCTTAAAGGGTATGACAACTAGCGAGTCATCAAATCATAATAATGATTGCCTTGGGACTAGGTAAATGCCGAATCAATTTCAGTTAGTAGGTCGCTTTATTGGCTTGTACTGAGCTGTCCTTTGATACTATCTCTCGTAAGCACTCATGAAATTTAAAGTATTATCTCAACTTGATTATTTCTAAGTATTTATTGGGCTTGAATTCCTACGTGTGCCCTGGCCTTTTGGGTAAAAATACCTTCAGCAATTTTCGGGTTACCTTATGTTTCATCTGTCCGACCGTTCTAGGGCCGAATGGAGTGATTAGCTATTTTGGCTTTTATGGCTGAGTTGCCTAACTGGGGAATGCCCTTTCTAGGCATTTTACTCGGCCATTTGATCATGCGCCTTCAATGGCCGAGCTGCTATATTGCAAGCAGCTTCGATTCTCTTTTTGGGCGGCTTACATTGTGTTATATTACTTATTCAGCTCTACCCTCTTCAAGGGCCGAGCTGCTATCTTACAAGCTACCCTTGTTTTTGTTTTTAGTCGGCATTTCTGCTTAACAATAAGTAAACGTTTAACAATAAGTAAACGTACAAAGTATATGGTAAATATAACAATGTTTTGACTTTTTCATTATTATTGTCAAAATTACATTGTTTTTAGTCGTATGGCTAGAATTACATTTCTCGGCCGTTTAGGCCTAGTTGTATACACCACTTTTGGCTAAGTACAAAAATTTATAAATAATATTTTTCAGATTGTCCGTATTCCACATACGAGGAATAGGACAGCCATCCAAGACTTCGAGATGGTATGTACCATCTCGGACTTCTTCCCTGATCCGGTAAGGCCCTTCCCGGTTTAAGGTTAACTTGCCATCCTCATTAGCCCGGCCTACCACTTCCATTTTTCTTAAGACCAAGCCACCAATCTTATGCGGCCGCTTAGACACTTTACGATTATACGCCCTCGTCATACTTAGACGATAAATTTCGTGTCTAAGAACTACATTGCCCCTAGCTTCTAAAAGGAATTCCAGGGCGGTCTTCATGGCCTCCCATTTGGCCGATTCATCATATAGCATTACTCGAAGAGTGGGCTCATACATCTCAATTGGGAGTACGGCCTTAGGGCCATAGACTAGACAAAATGGGGACTCTCCTATTGAACTTTTTGTTGTCATACGAATGTACCATAACACATTGACCAATTCATCAGCCTATAGGCCGCCTTCTTTCTCCAGCTTACGCTTGATGCCATTGGAGATCAACTTGTTGTATGCTTCAACTTGGCCATTTTCCTTTGGGCGTCCGACCGAGGCAAAACAATGCGTTATGCCGTGGTCGCTTAGCCAATCTTTGAGTTGGTTGGTCTCTAATTACGGTCCATTGTCGAATACCATTGATTGCGACACACCAAAGCGTGTGATAATGCTCTTCCAGATGAAGGCAGATACATCTCTCCATTTGATCCCTCGGACGGCCTCAACTTCAACCCACTTTGTGAAGTAGTCAACAGCTACTAACACATACCGCCTCTGTCTAGATACTGGAGTATACGGCCCCAAGATGTCCATGCCCCATTTTGCAAAGGGAAATGGACTAATTATGGCCGACAAGCTATTTGCCGAGCGGTGAATGAGGGTTGCAAATCTCTGGCACTTGTCACATTTTTTCACCATTTCCATGGCGTCTGAATTCATGCTTGGCCTGTAATACCCAAGATGGGTAACTTTTTCAGATAAAGCTCGTCCACCTATGTGTGATCCGCAATCCCCTGGTGAAGGTCGTCTAACACCTCATGCCCTCTCTCGGGCGTAATACATTTCAAGAAGGGCTTCACAAAGGCTTCTTTGAACAAGTCCTACCCCTTCATCTCAAACCACACCGCCTTTTTCTTCATTAGCCAGCTCTCTTTAGGGTTTTTCAGAAGAACTCCATCCTTGAGATAGGAGATAATTTTTTCCATCCATATGGAGCTTGTGTCAATGATTTGCAAAGGCTCGGCATCGATACTCCTCTTTTCCTTGACTTCCCAGAACACAGATCTTGGAGTATCACATGATGCCGAGGAAGCTAGCTTGGAGAGGGCGTCCACCTGATAATTCTCGGACCGGGGAACTTGTTGTAGAGTGAAGTGCTTTAGGCTCTCGGCCTCATCCTTCACCATCTGAAGATACTTCATCATGGCTGGCTCCCTGGCCTCATCCTTCACCATCTGAAGATACTTCATCATGGTTGGCTCCCTGGCCTCATAGTCACCATTCACTTGGTTGACTATCAACTGAGAGTCCGAACTAGCATCAATTTTTGTTGCACCGGCCGCCTTACACATTTTAAGGACGGCCAGGAAGGCTTCATACTCAACCTCGTTATTAGAGGCTTGAAACTGAAATATCAACGCATATTCAAACTTGTCTCCTTTTGGAGATTGACATATGATACCAGCGCCACATCCGCTCGTTGTTGCACTTCCATCCACAAAAACTTTCAAGATCTGATCCCCTGCCAGCTGCAAGTCCGACCCTGTCATTTCGACCAAGAAATCTACAAAGGCTTGGCCCTTGATTGCTTTTCTAGGTTCGAATGTGATATCAAATCCTCTCAATTCTAAGGCCCTTTTAAGCATTCGGCCACTAGCCTCTAATGTTGAGAACAACTTCTTCAACAGTTGGTCCATGTAGACCATAATCGAGTGAGCAAGAAAGTATGGCCTTAGCTTCTTTGATGCCATGTACAATGCCAAGACGAACTTTTCAAAGGGTGGATACCTAAGTTCGGCATTGTGCAGAATAAGGCTGATGAAATACACATGGATCTGATGGCCGTCCCTTTAAACAAGTAAGACGACACTTAAGGAATGATCTGAAATTTCAAGATACATATATAGCTTCTCGTCTTTGAGTGGATTGACAAGCCGAGGAGGGTAAGCAAATGATTTTTCAACTGTACAAAGGCTTCCTCAGCCTCCTTTGTCCACTCGAACATTGCTTTCATCTTTATAGTCTGGAAAAAATAACGGCACTTATCCCCTGATCTTGACATAAATCGTCCGAGTGCAGCTAAACAGTCGGTCAGTTTTTGAACTTCTTTTATGGTTATGGGAAATTTCATGTCTAAGACCGCCAAGATCTTCTCAGAGTTAGCCTCAATGTCGCGCTGATCAATAAAAAATCAGAGACATCTGCCGGACTCAACATCAAAGACTCACAAGCTATTTGCCGAGCGGGGAATGAGGGTTGCAAATCTCTGGCGTCTGAATTCATGCTTGGCAAGTAATAGCCCAGATGGGTAACTTTTACACTATTTCCATGGCGTCTGA